AAGCTCAGACTCTGGCACAGGTTCGGGAACGTTGGAAGCACTGTCTGACGCGTCTGCCTCCGCGACCCGACCGGAGAAGCGGCGATGGAAGATGAAGATGATGTAAATTGAACATTTTTAAAAAATTAGTAACGTGAATCTGATTCTAGCAAAACTTGCAGATCTTTGTATGCTTTACTGTGTATAAGGCTGATTTTGAACTATCATTCAAAATTGAATATGTCGTATATTATTTATGACCGACCAGTTATGAGTAATGTAACATGAGTTTAGTATAAGTTTATTAAGTAAAGTTTATAATAGCGTAATTCTTTGCTCCAGAATCTTAGTCTATGGGGTGTTCCCGATCACTGTTATCTAAAGTATCGTTATCGTTCTAACATCTAACTTGCTGTTTGTTGTTTTTCCATCGTCATGTAAGATTAGAAATACTTAAACAGCAGAGTAATCCAAATTTGTAATGTCTGACCGTAAAAAACGGTACTTCGGACTGATATGAGGTAAAGTTCACTGTTGTAAGCATCATATTTCTGTTCACACGCAGCTTCTTTCACAAGCAGCTTAACGAAGTTTTTCTTAGTTTCGTTTTGTCGTCCCACGCGTCTGCAACTAGTGCGCGGTTTCCAGCGGAGTAAAGTTTTGAATATATTTCTATTCTCTCTTTGGCCGTTTTATCATACCGAACCAGGCGCTGATCTCAGTTCATCTTATGGTTTTCTCAGAACGCTGGCCGTCACTATCTGCTCGTTTGTGACCCGGTGGTACCACCTTACTTTGAGAATATTTCGTGGAAAAGCTGTTTAACGATGCTTAAGAATGACGGATGTTTCGTGACTACATGAGCACCTAGGATACCGCTGCTTTCAGCATGTTGACCTTTGTTGTAGTTATTATAGTTCTGTCTTTTCATATACCATGAAGCTCACCGAAATCTTCTGGTTCAGTTCAGGATCAGTGAGGCCATCATTAGCCAGCACAGTTTCAAGGTGATCCAACTGATCCATCGTTACGCCATTCCAGAATTTCATTGGGCTGCTGGTCGTGCAGGTACTCTTATATTCTTCTTTATGTCGTTCATTTATACCTTCACTTGTACAGCGGTGTTGCACACGCTTTCAATGTGTGTCAGTAGGCCACTTTGTAGAGAGTCTTTTAGCAGAACGGCGACATCGCCATACGCAAGGTCTGTGAGGAGTACCTTTGGCTATCGCTAACTGACGTTCAGTCCCTCGTTGTTATTTGAAACAACGCACTTCCGCATAATATAGTTTGCCATAATGTTAAATAGGATAAAAAGCACCTGCTCTTGACGAATTCCACTGGTAATGTTGAACCAGTTCGAACGACGATCCGGTGACCTATATTTCAGCTGTCCTGTAAGTCTTCATAGAATAATTACCGGCATTTATGTATTTTGAATCCCTTGGCATCAGTAAACATAGTATGTTTTACTTGTTAAACACTAAATCATTTTTTATTTTATAATTTGACTGATTTGCTAGTCCAAAAAAATCCAGTGATACTTGCACTGTCAATTTGCAGCTACAGAACATGTTTAATGCCAGGTTGAATGCCACATCAGTCAGTTGGTTTTACGATGTATAAGTTACGTATAAATGCCATATTTGGTGAATTATGAGTTACGGGAAAGACAAATAGACGTTTAAGAAACTTGTGATTTAGTTTTGATTGATTGTTTTAAGTCAGATTGATTCACGAGCAAGGGGCAGTGCATTACGTGGTGAAATTCAGCTTCTTAAATATTAAGCACTGTTAATATGGATCAGTGTAGAAACCCATGCTTTTAACGTTTGTAGCGTAGTGCTATATAGCATATAGCGCTATGGCATACAAGGAATACCTACCCATAAAATATCACTATTGACGACCAAAGCATTGTGCTATCAATTGAAATTACACGAGATGCATCGCATTGCCAATACTTAGAACGGAGCGATGGGACTATGTGATTACCTGGGCATGTAGAGACAAAGGGACGCGAATTTACCATGAAATCTGATTTTTATAAATTTACCGCTTCTTTTTTGCACATAAAAGAATAAATGTCCAATCATTATAGGAATCGTTTATCGCTACTGCTTGCAGAACTGAAATCCATGAAAAGAAAACAGTTGGAATCTATTCTCAGTCAAATAGACACGTTCAAAAATCCTTCTGTTGCTCTTGAGCAATACCAAACCAGCACCGAGGTAGCAGGTAAAGTTTTGAAAATAAGCGAGCAAATGGAGGAAATGTTTGATTTCTTCATATTTGCACACTGACTCTCTTTTATGCGGTATTTCGATGATTTCTGCAGTCACCTAACTGAATTGAACTCAAATGCATTTTCATACTATATAAAAAACGAGAATGAGTGAGCGGTTGAATGAATCATTGAGATCTCCTCCAGAAATTTCCCTTGTTTGTGCTCAGTTTGTGACACTCGTCCCTCGTGGATCATATGGTGTGCTTCTAATGCCCGTTTCTCTGGTTAAGTGCCTTGCTGCTGTTTAAACGTAAATCCACAGCTGAATGACACTTTAACAGCGTGCAGGTTCCTGTTTTCGTCCCATATTATGGTCAAAATTTACCTACCTTTTAAGGATGAAAGTTGAGTGACCAAATTGGACCGAGGTAAATGTCAACGATATAAGTTTTTTCCTGTTAACTGTCGTTGCGACAGCTCGTTGTTAATGTCTTGTAACTGCCATCATAACATTTGTATAAGACAGATTTTGCAGCGTCGAAGCTTTTGTTTCCCATGATTTCATGGTTTTCAAGACGAAATCTGAAGATGATCATTTTCTAACAGGCCAGTATCTTCATCGAATGAGCATATTTAATAATCCTGCTATGAATGACACTTTCAGGTACTGGTGTAACTTGCAGATGTTAATATTTGTATAGTTAGTGCTCAGAGAAACAAGCAGCTATTAGCATAACCGTAATTTTATGACAAGGCACAAACATGACTTCTTTACAGTGTACATTGCCAGTAGCGCTTTGTTCAGTAAATCGCTCATTTGTTTCTGAGATTCTAGTGAGCAATTACTTTTGTAACCGGCAATAAAATTCTGTGCAACTCGTCACAGTGTTCACTGTGTTCGCTATGGTTGTTATAATTCATATGAAATCGACTGCCAAATGCATGATTGATTTAATTATGACCAACGCAATTTGGTTAACGATTTTTTATCCTGTCTTGAGAATTTTATTTGTATTTCCATATGGCGTTGAAGTTGCTAATACCACTTTAAAATTTGTGGAAGTTGATCACGGTCGCCTGTCTATGTTTATTATGCTTTATTTTTGTTTCTCTTTAGCTGCAGTTTTATTAGCCGCTCATGAACAGTTTGATGACATCGAGGGCCAAGTCTGTGCCGACCTTGGTTGTGGCTGTGGAACTTTTGCTGCAGGTCTTTGCAGCTTGAGCGCAGAGTGAGTTTGCATAGCCGTTGACGAAGACAGCTTTGCTATTTTAGTTACTGCTTCGGATTCGACATCGACTCTTACGCTTTGAAGATATGCGTGGACAACATGGACAACCTGGAAATTTACAACGCGGATTTTGTCCAATGCGACGTATCAAAAGTTGACAAGCGGAACAGTCCCCGCTTAGAAAATTGCGTTGACACAGTGTTCATGAATCCCCCATTTGGCACAAAAGGAAATAAAGGTAAGAATCATATCTTTAATTGACAAATATTGTCTAAAGTTGATTAATTTTAAAACTGGAAATTAATTGAAACTGTGATACTTAAGTCAGAGTAAAAGCAGACTCGTCCAGACGAGTGATGCCAGCTAAACAACCGCTGTATCTTAAGAGAATAGTTTGTCAGACATGAGTGGTGATAACTATTTTACCTTGAATCCGTTATATCTCGCCATTCTTTTTCCTACTATTCCTGGATCGCATGTGCAGCCTTGATGAACCTTTGTAATACTGTTATTTCGGGTCATTGCAACTGTTTTTCACAGGGTGGCCAGTGTTGTGCTATTCCCGCGCAAGAAGGAACGTTGATTATCTAGTTGTATCAAACCATATCGTGAGTGTTCTAGACTTTCTTTTCCGAAACAGTGCTAACCCCAACGAAGAAGAAAGTCTCGTTCTAGAAAGAAGGAGCAGTTCAAGATATGCTGCTCGATATCTTGTTGACCTGAAGTACGTTGAAGATGTTGTCCAGGTAAGTAGTACGGTTATCGGGCTCAGCCACCTGACGGATTTCATATGCAACACAGCTATGAAATCCGGCGTCTTCTTTAACGCCCGGGAGTCAGATGTTATGAAGAACTCATCTGAGCACAGCTCATCTACAAGTAAAACACGGTCTATGAAGAAACGATAACGGTAACGCTAGCCAATTTAAATATCTCAGCTCCACCATCTACAGTGATAGCACTATGTAGCTGAAGTTAAATAGGTGGTTTGCTCTAGATTCCAGTGATTTAGGTAACCTTTCCAACATCTGGGCTCAGAAAGGAGTTATTCTTACCACGAAAATCCACCTGTAACTTGTTGTAATGAAAGAGCAAAAACGACGGTTAAACAGCGTACAGGCTGCGTTGCCCGTTAGGCAGACTGAGCGTTAAATGGAAAAACCACCACGTAATTAATGAGTCTATCCTCTTTGAGGCACAGGTGACCTCGGTAGATGTGGAGATTGAGAAAATGAGGCTGGCCTTGTTAGACAAACTAGTAGAGCATACACCATTTACGCCAGCTCGTGAGCTCCTCGTGCGGAGTCAGAAACGCTGCAACCAGGAGGCCGAAATGAAGCATGGATGAACATGGTAGAGGCATATCTGGTTTCAGAGGAAATTTTCTTCTACGTTACCGGTGCCTTATAGCAAAAGGGTTACAAACCTGCGAATGTGTCAGACATCACAAACCAGTAACATTCTTCCCAGCAATTAAAGGTGATGATCTCAATAAACACAACACAAACTAGCTCGTTCGTGTTAGGCTTTTGGTAGGATCATAGCCTTCAATAACTGTTTCAAACGTTTCAGTAAAGTGTTTCTTGCTAATTCAGGTCGAATTTTAGCATCCATAACTTTCTACGGACATTAGATTTGGCAGGTCTATTGCTGACCAGTTTTTCTGTTCTACGACTTTTTCGCATATTTTGATCAGTGTTGCTGTATCAGTTCTTGTTATGACTATTTACTATATGCTTTTTGTATACCTTTGCGAATCTCGATATTGGATTATCATGTTCTTTCACAGCAGAGCGCCAAGATAAGGGAAAGCGTAACTTACATCTCACCAGTTCAACAGCAGTATATTTAATATGGACGATGGTAACTTTACTCTATGATATATTCCCTTATATCTGCGTCGCCTTTCAACCTCGTATATTCACGAACAATTTTCATGCCGCTTTGACTCAGGAACAATGCGATAGACTGCACAGAGCTTTAGAGTTTCACAAATCATCGCTATGTAATATATAAATGGAAAAAATGAACAGAATGACGATTAGCGCAATGTAAGCTGGGGAACGGGTTGGTTTCTTATCAAAAACGGTATGAAGCAGGGTGATGTATCTGCTTTGCTTTTTAATAACATAGTTTGAGCACATTTTATGAAACATTGCTGAACAGCCATGCAAGAAAGGCTTGCTGTATAAGCAGAAGCAAAGCTTAACATATTCGACAAAGTGCCTCATTGACCTGAATTGTGCGTATGACGGTCTCACAGGTGGCCTTAACTCCCTAGCTGCATGGGTAGGTCCAGCTTATGCGAAGGCCGAATTCCTTAAGCAAAAATGACTAGTAATTCTGACACAACATGTAAACGAAGCTGTGCCTCAGAAATAGTGCTAGAATACCTCAGCGTCGTCATTTCGATCACCATCGAGGTCCATTTTTGCCTTCATTCAGTCGAGCCTGGGTTTCTTTACAAACTGGATGCGGATGCTCTTGCAAGCTGACTACGACACAATAGAAATGACTTATCCGCATTAGATGACCTCACGGACATATCCCGGGTGCTCAGAGACAGAAGAGTGGAATCATCATTCAGTCATCTGCACTAAGGCAACCAAGTCGCCTGCTTTTCTACGTCTAACATGAGACTTTAAATACGGACGAAAAAATATGAGCAACCAGCACACCTTAAACTAAACGAAGATCTGTTGTTGATGAGGAATCTTTCTCTCGTAGTACTGTTAGACTTCCTACTATTAAAACACGAAACTAAAAAATAAACTGACAACATAGACTGGAAGCAGTCTGCAGTTACTTACAGATGACAATATAACATAGGCGATTACTCATCACATATCATAACTTTTCTTCGAAATTGTTTAGTGTTTGCAGTATGGTTAACAAATCTTAACGTGTGGTAAATTGAAACAAAATCCATTTGTAATTTTATTTAATATGTAATAAAATGATTTACATCATGTTTAGGTGCAGACATATCATTTCTTTCCGCAGCAATTTACATGTCCCGAAATACGGTTTACTCATTGCATAAAAGTTCGACTCGTAGAGTAAGTAATTTTCATGCTTGAAGATTCAGTCGTTTTCTGTTTTTTATTTTGCAGTTTATCTTGAAGAAAGCACAGCAGTGGGGCGTCGAAGCAGAGGTTGTTGCCGAACTGCGGTTTGATCTTCCAGCAGTGTATAAATTCCATAAATGCGAAACTCAGGATGTGCAGGTTGATTTTTTGCGATTTTCCAAGATTCGAAGGTCGGTTGCGTAACTCTGTGACTTCTCGCTGTTTGACTATCGTCAGAATATTTATTTGAACTGCGCGAAGATTCTCAGGAACCGTTCAGTACTACGGTGGAAATGAATATCTGCAAGCGCCCAACAACAGCAGTCATATTCAACTGACACTAAATCAGTTTTGTGAGCTGACGCTACATCATTTCTGTTTCTCGATTTGTAATACCATGTGAACCCGCTGTTGAATTAACTGGAGCCATGTACAAGAATTTTACCCATATTCATGTTGCAGAAATAAAAATTATGGATTGCTTTTAGGAATGTGATGTATAAAAGATAAAATTAGCTGTAACGTTTTATACAGACAAGATTTAAAGGCGTTGAATACATTTGAATTCTTTCAGAAACTAGAAAAACGTGCGCGCTACAACAGTTTAAGGTAAGAGTGACTCGACACTGATAGACAGTTTTGTTACTCATCTTCAGTACCTCTTTCTTTGTTCCGTCGTTGCTGTATTTCATAATCGCCAAAAGCCTTTTTCGATCCACTGCTGGATGAAGGGTTCTCCAAGACTTCTGCTTTCTGCCATTTTCATTAATCGACTCACTTCTTCAGTTCATCCTGCCATTAATCTGGAGTTTTTCTACGGCCCTTACTTGCCGTTTTGGAACCGAGAAAGTCGCTGCATTTATGAACCTTTTGTTCCTGTTTACGGAGCACGTGCTTCACTTATTAACTCAGAAATTCTCTTTCTGCGATTATGCCTGAATGCTCTAAATTTCCACTGTTTCGTCTCTTCAAATAGCACTGCAACTAGTTTTATTCATTTATTCCATGAACTTAATAAATGAACAACGCTGCTCTACGATTAGATGTTATTCGGCTCCCTAAAAACCAAGCATCATTTACAAACGCGTACGTAAACTTTACACTAGATAATCAATAAAATGCCGGAAATTCTGCTTCGTTTGGCTTCAACAAATCCAC